CACTTGTGTTTTCACAATTAAGAGCTAAAATTAGGGATAGGGTCTTGTTCTGCTGCCCAGGCTGAGGTACACTGGCTCTAAACACAGCTCACTGCAGCCTCAGACTCCGGGGCTCAAGGATCCTCCTGCCTGGTCCTCCTGAGTAGCTGGGACTACAGGCATGCACCACCACACTGGCTAATTTTTCCTTTCTTTCCTTTTTTTTTGTAGAGACGGGATCTCAGATTGTTGACCAGGCTGGTCTCACCTCCCGGCTTCAAGTGATCCTCTCGCATCAGCCTTGCAAAGTGCTGGGATTACAGGCGTGGGCCACCTCGCCAGCCCAGATCTACTTTATAAATGCCAACGGGCTTGATTGCCTTGCATTCCTCCATATCATCTCCGGCCCTGGCACTGCAGTTAGAAGCCAGCACATGCTGTATGCTATATAAATGTATGTTGAGTGCATAAATTAAGGACTGCCGTCGGAAACGCCCCTTGCTAGGGTGAGGCTTCTGAGGGGAATTGGACTTGGGTTTCGAACTTCAAGGGAAACGGTTACTGTCTGATCTGTGGAGGGGTGACCTGCCTCGTGGCGGTGTGCAGCCTTTCCCTAACCTGCTATTAAAAGATTGCTGGCAGAATGGTCTGCAGATCTTCTATTTACTGTAAATAATCAACCCAGGTAAGGAAAATCCCTCTGCATAGTTCTGCTAAATTCCACCCCAAACAAAGCTATCAGAACACAGCTACTTCTGTCTTAAGTAGGAACAGCTAATGCCATTAGAAATTATAAAGAATCCTCTCCTCTGTCTTTATAGAACAAAAAATGAAACCTGCTTCAGAAGCCCACCCATGGTTCTAGAGAAAGTGGTTTTGCTGGTTAAGTTTTTAAAATTCAGGTCTTTTGGAGAGGTGAATTTGAAAGCTCACTCATTCAAATGCCACTAGTCATTCATCAGATGACCCCACCTCGGCCAGCTGACTCCAGAGTAGAAACCTTTCAACCCTCGTTTGGCTGAAGTGTGACATAACCAATACTATCATGAACTGCTGCCTTGACTCAGCATGATGATATCCCTATAATCACATACCAGAACTTATTAAAACTTGTTTGATGTTATAGAAGATTTTAAAACTTCTCAGACCACTGTTCACTTTCAACACTGAATAATAAACTTAAGCTCGATCTGCTGACCTTAGCTGGCTCCAAATTTGTTTTTAAAAATGAGACAAGGCCAGGTTCATGCCTATAATTCCAGCAATTTGAGAAGTTGAGGTGGGCAAATTATTTGAGGTCAGGAGTTTGAGACCAGCCTGGCCAACACGATGAAATCCCATTTATACAAAAACAAACAAACACACACCCCACAAAAAGTAGCCTGGTGTGGTGGCATGCGCCTGTAATCCCAGCTACACAGAAAGCTGAGGCAGGAGAATTGTGTGAACCTGGGAGGTGCACTCCAGCCTGGGTGACAGAGTGAGACTCTGTCTCGAAAAATAATTAAATTAAATTAAAAAATAAGAAATCAGACAATAACTTCTTAGTTTAAAATGGGACACATTCAGAACAAGTAGCCAGTTGCAGAGACCTTAATAAGAGTGGTAATAATGAAAATATGCCATTGCTATTTCTGTAGAATACTCCAGACCGGGAAGAACCTTATTAGCTTTGAGTTATTTTTCTCAGAGTTAATGGATTTATGGTGCCCTTAAGCTAAATCAGTCTCCATGGACACCAGGAAAGTCCACATACTCTGTGGGGCTGGGTGTGAGTTGGGGCATGGTGGGGGGAAGAAGTCAATGTCCTTTTCTCAGAGAATCCAGAGTCAACAGCAGAAACTCACCTGCTGAGAGAGCAGGTGTCGTTTTAACATTTTTTTTTTTTTTTTTTTTGAGACGGAGTTTCGCTCTTGTTACCAGGCTGGAGTGCAATGGCGCAATCTCGGCTCACCGCAACCTCCGCCTCCTGGGTTCAGGCAATTCTCCTGCCTCAGCCTCCTGAGTAGCTGGGATTACAGGCACGCACCACCACGCCCAGCTGATTTTTTGTATTTTTAGTAGAGACGGGGTTTCACCATGTTGACCAGGATGGTCTCGATCTCCTGACCTCGTGATCCACCTGCCTCGGCCTCCCAAAGTGCTGGGATTACAGGCGTGAGCCACCGTGCCCGGCCTAACATTTTTTAAAGTTTTTTTTTTCCACGAAGTTTAAAGTCCTCTCTCAAAACCTAATAATAGCCTTAAATGCTTTACTGAGTAGAGGGAAGAAAAGGAAGGACGCCTCCTCTGTGGGAGTCTCGGGCTTCCTCTCTTCAGCCTCCCTCTGCAGGACACCTGGCTGAGCTCCACGAGGAAGGATACAAAACTTTCTCTTTAGTTCCTTCCCTCTTTGTGCCATAAAAGGAAGGGAAAAAAATGAAGGGACCATGATAAGACCTCAATGCCAAAGCTTCTCAGGGGTCGCAGATACCTTCCAGCAGCCTGATGGCCTGGTTATGTTCCCAAGCTCTCCCTCACAGGCCACCAGTGAGGATTACAAATCACCCTCCAAAAGCCTGAAGAGCCAGAGAGGGTTCCATTCCAAGGAGCAGATTTTTTAGTGGCAGGGCCTCATTATGTTGTCGAGGCTGGCCTTAAACTCCTGGGCTCATGATCCTTCTGCCTCAGCCTCTTGAATAACTGGGACCACAGGCAGAAGTTGCTGTGCCCAGAGGGAGCAGAACTCTGCAAGGCCCCCCGACAGACTTCTGAAAGAAAAAAACATGTCTGCATCCAAGAAATCAATCATTCTCTCACTGAACACATAAATAAGAATACCAGGTGACAATTTTATTCACAAATAAAAAAGGTATTACAAAACTATTTAAGAAAATGATAATTTACACAATTATAAATTCCAGTATGTAAATGGTGATGAAATTTGCACAGTAATGATGAGATTTAAATTGATTTAAGCTATTTTAAAGCACTGATGGTTTTCCTTCCCTTTCTTTTTTACTAGCACGACGGTAGTGCTTAACCTAGGTAATAGCAGTATTAACACTTTATCCAAAGTAGAAAAAGCTCTATTTAAAAATATATTCCATATACATGAAATTAGAAAATCCATGACTTGACTTGGTTGTTCTTGAAATCCTTGTCTCGTTCTTGTCAATGAGCTTCTGCAGCGCAAGAAGCCACAGCAGTTACACCCATGCAGCCTTCGTGACATCAGCAGTCTAGCAGCTCAGTTTTTTGAGTGCTATGGGATATTCCAACAAAGTGAAGTGCAAATTGGATTTTTTTCCTCAAATGTTTACAAAATGTTACACAAAGAGCGCAAAATAGAACATTAATGTATATTTCTAGAGTAGGTAGAGTAAAATATCTTCACTTTGATAAAAATTACCCAGGATTTTTCAAATTCAGTAGCAAATGAAATCATTTTTCAACTCGAAGCATTTCTCTACTGATGGAAAATGATGTTTTAGGATTTTTGGCCAAAGTCTCATTCCCATCGGTCTGACTTTCTCCAGCAAGTGTTTATCCTTGAAGTTAATCAGGGCTGTACATATGGAAAATATATACAGGCTCCACGAGGAACACAGCCCCGCCTACTCACATCATCCCTCTGCCATAACAGAAAGGACCAGATTGCAAACAGCGGCACGTATGTGAATCACGGGTGAGGTCACACGAGGAAACTCTACTTGCATTTTCATAGCCATTGTGTGGTCAAATCCTAAATATTTTACATGTCCTAAAGGCAATTTTCCTAAGAGTTCATGACTACCAAAGGACCACTAGTTTATGCTTTTAAAAAAAAAAAAGGAAAACAGGAAAAGTCAATTGACTATGACTGGGCACTAGGTTGACATGACAGATTGGGGGTTGCAATGAAGCACTCTTATTTCCTATTTCAGATGAGGGAATTGAGGTCATGAGATGTACCAGACACAGGCAAGCTAGTAAATGCATATCAGAACCTAAAACTATGGAGAAAAGGCCTCAAGAAAGAGCGCTCATTAAAATTTACTCATAGCTCACAAAGAGAAAAAAACATGGGTAATATGTGAGAAGATACAAATGTCCTAGGAAAGATGGCTATATTTTAATATTCAGTTTAAATGTTAAAAGACAGTGTCTTGGGCAGGGCAATTCATAGTGCACTTGAACATACTGATGTTCAAAAGTCTAAAAAATAAACCCTCTTCAATTAAGTCTTCTCCAGGGCATAAAGATTAAGAGCAAATAAACCATTCCCTGTTTCGTGACTGAACGGGGTTAATTTCTGCCTTAGCTCTAGAGACAATGCTAGTGTGCAAATACCAAGCTGGTAGGGGATGGAGCACCTTAATAGAAAGAAGCACCATCCTCTGAAATCCCACATCAGATGGCTAAAGTAGGAGATGATATGCTAACTAACCTCACGCGACTGGAAGGAGCATGACGATGTCCTGGTTCCTCTAAACCCCTACAAACTCTGCGTTTTCTTCTAGTCCTAACATGTGGTCTGCTCTCATGGAAACTACTTCAGGAGGAGGGGAACCTGACATGTTGTAGTTTCTAAAGCCTTTACTACAAGGTACAATGCAAGTAAAAGATCATTTATGTTTATAAATACCCTTTTTCTATAAAAGAAATTCTGAATCTTCTAAGCTCAGGCAGAGGGACAGATGCAACAGGTGTTTCTATATCAACTAATTTTCATATAAATATGCCAGCCTTTGCACACAAGTCTCTACACTATGTGTTAACTCCGGGCAATGGGCTGCCTTTTCTGTACCACATTCCCCAGCCCAGGTGCTCTCTGAGATCAGCACCAGCAGGTGTTCGTGAGACGGAGGCTGAGGTCAGAAGTGTAGACTCTGGAAAAAGCTATCTTCCTCTGTCTGATTCCTCTGATTCAGTTAACTTCATCTAATAAACCCAAGATTTAGGCAGGCAACATGTGGGCCGCACTAACCACCAATGCAAATCAGTTTAGATGATGAAAAAGTATCCTTCTCAAATAGAAACACTCACTTTTGAACCCATTCTACATAAAAGCTAAGGTAATTTATCTGACATTTCATAGGCGATATGAAAATATTTCTGGAAAGAAAAAGTATACTCTGAGTCTTCAGTCTTGTAAAAACATATTCACCATGAAAATAAGCATGAAGGCATTTCTGTTTCTTGTTATATGTCCCCAGTCTCGTAGGCTGCCAACTCAACCCATCCGTCTTTGAAGTCACTTTGTGGCAGAGAAGCTTCTTATGTAGGAAACATGCAGAATATCATAAGTTGGCCCACAGCCTTTTCTTGTTATTCGTTGAGGTTTCAGCTTACAGCTGGTCTGGCTCAGAAGCAACTGGCTAAAAGGCTTAAAACGCCATCAGTTTGGTTCAGATTTATTTTTTCCCAGAAGCCATGCAAGGCCCAGACTGCTCAGTCCATAAGCCTAACAAAGGAGTACTCTTTGGGTGCCAGCACACACTTCAACTGCAGAAAGAAGCAGGCCCTTTAAGCTTCCTAAAATAGAAAGAGAAAGGACGTTTTAAAAACAATGTCTTGCAAATTAATTCTGATAAATTTCGATGGTGGATAATTATTACGCATAACTTTTACTAATAGTATACATGAATTTAAGAGCATATGGACAAGAAAATCATTTAGTAGTATCCAAATATCCAGTTACCCATGTGATCTCAGGATAAAATAAAGGTTTTCATAACAATTCACAGTCACCCAATTTCTGCAGAGTATTTAAAAGATGATACTGTAACCCACAGCAATCATAATGTATTAACAAACAATTCTTTTGTGGGCCTTCAACCATATCCAAACATTTAAAGCGTCTTTCTTCTGTGCTGTGTTCCTTTAAAGCATTTGTAGGTAAATATTTTAGGATTCTGTATTCCTTTCTTTCAAAGAACAAAGATGATGAATGAACAGTGCCATTCTTTATCTGCCAACTTAGTCTTTGAATGTAAAACTTCCATTAAACTATTAGAGAAAGTTCAGAAATAGTAGGGAATAAGATTTCTCTTATAACGATCTCCCTAGAATACTCACCATCCTCATGGGGAAAATATCCTCAGCAAAGTGTAGCCATTAGGCATGTCCTCATCACAAAGGGCACTGACCTCAATGCAGGAAGGGGACAAGTGAAACCACTGAACATTAATTTCATGTATTAATCCTTCACTAACTTGCTCACCACTCATTTGGCACTGGTGACATACCAGGCAAGTGTATGCAAGAAAATTATTCCTAGATCTGAGGAGGTTATCTAGAAGTAAAATCTTCGGAAATACTTCCTTTGAGACCAGTCTGGCCAACATGGTGAAACCCCGTCTTTACTAAGATACAGAAATTAGCCAGGTGTGGTGGTGGGTGCCTGTAATTCCATGTTGGTCCTTAGCTGAGTGCCACAACCTCCCGTGGCCACTCGGGAGGCTGAGGCAGGAGAATCACTTGAACCCAGGAGGCAGAGGTTGCAGCGAGCCGAAATGGTGCCACTGCACTCCAGCCTGGGCGACAGAGCAAGACTCTGTCTCAAAAAGAAAAAAAAAAGAACAGCAGAATCATGCTGGATTCTTTCTGTTATATGCCCATTTTCAGAAAGGAAGTATTTCAATAACAGGAGATGGTTTTATTAAATATGCTGATCAACTGACATGCTTATAATAACTACATTAACCCTTCTGTGGGAAGCAAATTATCCTCATTTTGCCAATAAGGAAAAAGTAGAGATTTCAATAGCTTGAAAAACTAGAACCCAGCTCCCTTCATATCTTTTCTGACCTTCTTTCTGTTTGTTCCTGTTGACATGTTAAATGTTGCATTAAAAACAACTTCAAGAAATGCTTTTCCTGTAAGTAAACAGGCTGGCTTTGTTCTCTCAAATATCTCAGAAAAAATGTTCCAAACGTCTCAGTTCTGTTCCATTCTGGAGAGATGTGTACAGGAAAAACGTGATTAAAATTAAGTCATACAGACTAAAGAAGGCTTTCACACCTATTTGCTTTATCTAGAACCGTAACTATCATCAGATTATGGGTGATCTTAAATCACCTACAAGAAACTAGTGTGTGAAAATGCAGGTTCTGGAAACAAATGCATCATGCGTTGAAATCGTGGTCTCACAGTACGTAAAGACAGTGCTGTTTAGCCACAGCTGCTCCTCATCCACCCACAGATGGACACATGTCGTTTTCCTGAGCTATGAACAAGCCACGACATGGAGCCGAGCTAACTGAACATGAACCTGTGGAATGGATAAAGCTAACGAGAAGCCCTGTGCTTTGGTTCATAATAGTGAGCAGCTGAAATCAAATTATTTTATTTTTTGAGAGACAGGGTCTTGCTTTGTTGCCTAGGCTGGAGTGCAGCGGTGCCATCCTAGCTCACTGGAGCCTTGAATTCCTGGGCTCAAGTCATCTTGCTGCCTCAGACTAAAATCAGATGCTTTATGAGAAGTGAATGTGTTCTCTAGTTGGAAAATTAGCCTGTTTGGGGAAATGTTGGTTGGTTTTTAGAATTTAGATTGGGAAAAAAAACCAAAAGCAAAACCAGTTGAGTTAAACACTTGATTGGACCTTGAAATAAAGAGGAGGACCACACCCCTAAAGGCCTACAGTAGCTGCTGGTTCCTATTTTCTTTTGAAGATTAAGGTTCATTTGCTACATTTCACAGATCAGTAAGGGCAACTGAAGAGAAGGCTTTTTTTCTTTCAGAATCTGGAAATGATTATCTCTTAAAATGGGCTCAAAATATTATTTACTAGTGTAGGGGAAAAATCAAAATGGTTTGTATTTTAACAATTTCTTTTTAAAATTCAATGTCATACTTAGCTTTACCTAAATTATCCAATAATTATAGGACTATACCTCTTGAAAAGTTAGTAAAAACTTTTGTTAATGAATTATTATGCTGTGCAACTTGAATGTAATATTTTCTCATCAGGTTCATTTTAGATAATTACAACTTTCTTTTCATAATGAGTTGAAAGTATATATAAATCATGAGAACTACCATGAGTGTCTTTGAAAAATAGTTAATACGTCATGACAAGCCAATCTTAACTGAAACATGTTTCTAAAATGTCATGTTCATACAGCTGTGATGACAGCGCTTAGCAATCCTGTCCCCACCACACCACCAACCTACACAGAAAAAGGTAGGCAGTGAGTTTGGCTCCGGTATGACCTGGTATGAAGATGTTTCATTCTTTAGTCTCAGCAATTGACATCACAAACTTGGATACAAGCTACAAAATTAAGGTGAGTGGTAATTCTGTTTCCTGACAAAACTCTGAAAAACAGTCATCAGTCAGCCGGCAGCACCATAACCCTAGTTTCTCAGATGGTCTCCTATCGAGAGAGGCATGGACGATGCATGGTGAGGGCCCCTCATTTAGAGCCCCTGGGAGGCAGCTGAGCCCCTCCCGTTTCCAGCATCCTCTGACCCACCAGCGGACACTCTGCTGCTGTGGAGGACTTGTTACCTGCTCTGGGCTGCTGGGCCCTTTCAGTTCCCATGTTCTGTGGGGCATAGTCCATTCTTGAGACTTACACTCAACTAGGTTAATTCTTAAGTCTTTTCTTATTATCATAAAAATTTTTACAAATTACCGATGGCTCAAAACAGCAAGATCAGTGAACAGCTTTCCTAACTCCAGGCACAGCTCAGAGGCAGGTGCTCTGCGCCTCTTAACTGCGTAATTTATTTTTCCTGCATTCACTCACCTCCCTTCTCATACGTCTCCATTTCTCTATTCTGAGAACAAAACCAATTTTTTACCCTCTAAAGGCAAAAAATGCTTTCTCTACAGAATCCCCTATAAATTCTCCAGAGATTTTTAATTTTTTTTGGTAGTTAAAAAAAAGCAAACAAGGTGAGAGGATGGCTTGAGCTGGGGAATTTGAGGCTGCAGTGAGCCGTGATCGCTCCACTGAGCTCCAACCTGGGCGACAAGATCCCGTCTCAAAACCCAAAAACAAAAACGAAAAAATAAGTGCTGCAGACTTACATCAGTATGTAACTAATGCAGTGATCTTTTAAGGGAACACATCTGCATTCACACTTTGACTCTGCACTGTCTCTGCTATGATCAGGCCAGGATAGAGCCACGTGGAAGCGAGACCCCTCTGGAGCGGGTTCAGCTGCCTCCTCAGCACCTACAGCCCTGATCTGGGGCGGGGAGGGACAGGTGGTGAGAGCAGTGCCATCTGTGCGGGGCAGGGTCTTGTGGGCCTGGGAGCTGGTCTGTTGCTGTGACTCTGCCCTTTTACACTCAAGGCTGATGCTATTCTAGAACTTACACTAACAATACATGCGCTCCCATTTAAGGAAACGTTCACAAACATAATGTCAAATTCCGCAGAGGCCATGTCCTCACCTGGAGAAAGCAGAGATGTGCCCAGTTACCCCGAATCCTTTGCTGCCTCCAGCTTTGCAACATGCAGACAGCCCCCATTTCTCTGCAGGTGCCACCCTCACTCCACCCAGACCTGATTTTAAACCATTCTGCCTGAGAGGGTCTTAGGACGTGGCCTCAGGTCACAGCCAACAGTCAATTTCCAACCAAATCAACCAGTCAAAGCAGAGTGATCCAGAAAACAACAGCTAAAGAGAGAGGAGGGAAAAGAGTAGCTTTAGGAGACCTAAATTCACATAAACTTGGCAGCAAGCGAAGTATATTTAAGTACAGTATTGGGCATAAGTAATACAGCTAGTGCTCGACTTACGACCACGATTGGTTCCGACAGACCGGTCGTAACACGATTTGGTCGTAAGTTGAGTAGGCTATATGTACAGTTGAAATGGTGCACGTGGAGATGGTAGTGCTGCCGGAAGCTGGTCCGCACTGTCGTACGCCCAGCTGGACAACGTTTTCGCTGCCAGACGCGGAGCAGTCGTGGCTAGCGATTGTGGTTGTAAAGTCGAATGGTCGTTAAGTTGCATAGGTCGTAAGTCGATCAATACCTGTATATATGTTATAATTACATATAACAGGAAGAAATGAAGGTCAGGAATTGCCTGCAAGATGCCCCATACCCAGCTCATCTCTCTCAACAAGGGAAGGAGGCAGCAGGTGTGGTGCTAAGTGGTTGCATTTACAAAGAGGAAGAAAAGAATCAGCTGTCCACTTTACTCTTATATATTAGCTGTGTTAGTTTAAAAAAAAAAAAGACTTGAAATTTATTTTGAAACATATTCTACAACAGAGAAGAAATTATGAAAGACGCAAAAAAATCTCATCAGATTTCCCCAAATTTTATGCTGGGAACAGAATGCTGGTCTTCCATAAATCAGTGCTATGTTCACAGAGAACACAGTTGCTGTCTTACCTGCAGGGGTGTCTGAGTGGCTGGGTGGATGGCAGCACCACTCTCTTGATCTAGCTGGCGTCTCGTAGCTAGCGCATCCAGAGTTGATGCTGGCTCTGCCAGTGTGTTGTTACATCTTGATAAATCAGTAGCTGCTGCAAAGTTTTCAGAATGAGCTTGGATTGGAACAGCCCCACCAACCAAATCTTGACTATGGTTTGAATCCAAAGACGTTGAGCTTTCATTTTCTGGATTGAGAGAATGAATGTCTTCTCCAGTGAGTTCAGGATAAGAATCACAAAAAGAGATGTTGTCACCACCCACAGGATTCTGCATCAGAGGCCAGGCGTCTGAAAACTCGCCACAGGTGGACCGTGACAGGGACCCGAAGAAAGTCGGCACCATCTCCCCAGCTGGGCTTGCGTTTCTGCACACACATTTAAAAGAGCTTAAAGTCTTCGACAGGGAGAAAAACACTACCACAAAGCAGCACGTCAGCTATAATTTTAGGTCTTCTAGATGAAATAGCAATTTACTGAGTCAGAATTCTGGTGTTTCCTATTGTTATAAACTTGCCTCAGTCCAGTAAGTCCAATTACTCCATTTACTTTAAAACTGAATTTTGACACCTCCTTCTAATTAATATAGTTCTACTTAATCCATTGTCTAAAACTTGCAGTTTCCTGGGTCTCAACTGAGTTTCCTTGAGTGCTGTTCTAAAATTCTAAAATAACATGCCTTGGGTAAAAATTATTTACATATTAATTACTTACAGATGACAGAGGTGTCAAAAATCACAAACATAAGACAAAAATAAAGCTAATGGAGTGTAAACTATAAAGAATGCTGCACTGGATGTGAGTGATCTTAAGAGACCTACCTAATTCTTGCCTGAGAATTGTGCCCCACCAATATCCAGAATGTCAATAATATTTAAGAGGCAATGTTTCCATCGGTAAATTAGATGAAAATTGGTAAATTAGCAGAATGCATATTTGCACAGGAAGATATGAAATAACTGATTGAAAGCACCCAGTTACCTCGCCTGAAGGCTGGCCGCAGAATGCACCCCACAGCTGAGAGTCGCCCGGTCGGGGCTGCAGGCCTCATCGCAGCACAAGGATGGGAACAAGCGCACCGGCCCTAGGAAGACAGCACAGGTGTGAAGCGCAGGACCCCCTCCAGAAGCTTTCTCTTTAATAACACTTCAATACTGCTCTTGGAAATGCAGATGTTCCCCCTTGGGTGACTTCTGGGGGAAAGGGAATATAAAGTTCTGTTTTTTCTCATCTGAAACAAATGATGAACCACTTATATAAGCTACCGAGAGTAGACAGAAGAAGAAAGGTGGATGCTGGGGGCTGGAGCAAGGGGGAGACCAGCCTCTGTCGTCTGATAGAGACTGAGTTTCAGTTTGCGGGGGATGAAAAATGTTCTGGAAGGTGAATGGTGGTGATGGTTGCATAGCAATGAGAATGTCCTTAACGCCATTTAACTGCACACTTGAAAATGGTTAAGATGGTGAATTTTATGTTATGTGTACTTCCCTACAATAATAAGTGGGGAAAGCAATAAAGCAGTCTGAGGGAGAGCATGAAACGAGACTCTCGGCCCTGCTGAAGACAGGAGGAGCAGGACAGCTTTCCCGCTGAGCGGCCTCCTAACACAGATGAGAGTGCGAATGTTCGAACCCTCTAACTCCGTACACACAGACACACCATTTCTTTTTATTGCTGGGAATGTCACTTAAGGAATAAGTAGATGTGTGCACACAGCTTTACAAACTGAATATATCACTGAGGCTGGATGTATTTTGTGTTACAAAGATAATATAAAGTATTGAAGAAAAAATCTGAAATATAAACAGATTAGATAAGAAATTAAAAAATAAATCTTCTCCCAATCCTATAAGCTGAAAATAACCACTCACCTTTTTGAACAGCCTTCTTGATTTCCCACTGTGTCTATGCATAGATACATCATTCTGATTTACAGAACCACAAACACACTAATGCACGCAGACACACACACACACGCATACACAGAGGAAGACTTGGAGAAAAAAGACATTTACATATATATCTCTATGTGTGTGTATCCAAATTTTCCATAAGGAATATCTCTTTACTTTTATAAACAGGAAAAAGTATTATGAAACGATAGTCTCCCTTTTAAGAAATAAATGCCAAATATTGAGCTGCAATTGCAAGCCAGCGTGAAAGAGGAGGGCACTGGCCTGGCTGCATCTGAGTCTCCCTCAGAGCAAGGCCTCCGTCTGTCCCATCGAAACATACAGTGCTCTGACCACACTGAACTCGCTAGGGTTCACAGCCACCGGACAAACAAGTGTCATGCTCACCATGCGACATTTCAAAATTATTTTAAAGCAAAAGCCATTGCCATTCTTTGTAGAAATGGCTCATTCTTGGGAAAGTACACAATAAGCCTGGGACTTCTTTGGTGGAAGAAAGAAAGAAAGTGCTCAAAGAATAGTGGGGCTGTGTCACAATGGCACAGAAGCCAGCCTGAAGGGACTTCCAACGCAGGGCAACCTGAGCGTCAGAATAAACAATGATGCCAAAGGGCTGCAGCTCACTGAATACAGCCCACGAGTCTACACTAAGGTAATCAATAAATGGAAAAGGAAAGTTCCCTCTTACCATAGGAAGCCAATGAATGTGGAAAGAATAATGGAATTAGAAAGCCAGCATTTGTTAACCATCATAGTAACAACTGATTCCAGTACAAATCATCAGAGCATGCTAAGCTACAGGGTGAAAGTTGGGGAGTGACAGGACATTTACACAGTCTCCAAGTATCCTCCACGGGATATTTATGTATTACAAAGAGAACAACAGACATTTTAAATTGGAGAAACGAAGTGACCAAGGTTAGCCTGACCAGGCATAGACCAGGTAGACAGCTCTGCCTCCAGATGCAGTGCGCTGAGGACCCAGTATCCCTCAGCAGTATTTCTGAATCTAATCCTGAGGAAACATCAGACAAACCCAAATTGAGGGTCACTTTACAAAACTGTAGAATTTTGAAAAGCACTGGCCTGTACTTTAAAAAAAAAAAATCAGTATCATGAAACACAAAAATTAGAAGACCATTCCAGATTAAAAGTCACCAGAGATTTGACAACTAAATGCAACAGCAGTTTTCATAATTTTCTTTTGATATTTAGTAAGTATTTCTTAGAAAAGAAAATATTGGGACAATTAAGAAAATATGAATATGCTCTGTAGATGATGGAATGGCACTGATTTCACACAAATTTCCTGTTTGAATAACTGTGCTGTTGTTACGTGAGAGAAAATGTTCTTGTCCTTAGGAAGCAAACACTGGCGTACTAAGTGGGAGAGGGACATAGTATTTGCAACTGAATTTAAAATAGAAAATGAAAAACAAGTACACACACACACACACACACACACACACACACACCCCAGAGAGAGAGAGATAAAGCAAATGTGAACATGGGATAACATGTTAATATTTGGGGAATCTTGATAAAGGATACGTGGGAATTCTTTGTTTTACGCTTTCAATATTTCTGCAATTACATCAAATTCCTGAAATTATGTCAAAATAAAAAGTTTAAAGGAAAAAAAGTATCTGGCATTAAAAGGAAGCACTTGAAATAAGTTGCACGGAAGCAGGGCGTTGGCATGGGGGTCATTTCCAGCCCCTGAGTTCTGTTAGGAGGACAGGCAACAGGCCATCTGTATATTTAATCTTTCTTTTCAGACTGAAGTAAGGTGAGGCAGAGTTCACACAAACTGCATTTTATTACATTTAAAATTTAAAATTAGAGTTCATCTCTCCAGAAAGTATTCCCACTTACTCTGACTCTAGAAACAGTGTCCATGGTATCATTTCTAGGAAAATGTAATGGTTGGGGGCATTTAAGGATCGCACAGTTACCACTAATAGTGTTGAAGAGTCTTATCTATGTAGGCAAAGGCAAAACTAGATCCACATACCACAGAAAGTGTATTTTATTCTTCACTCATTCCTAAAACAGGAGATAGTCATAATTAGCGGAAAAAGAATTATAATAAAAGCTTCTTATTCCATATAGCTGTGTGCTACATAGCAATATTTTGTTCAATGATGATGGCCCACCTATACCACCCGGAACTTTATAATATTATTTTTCCTGTACCTTTTCTATGTTTAGATCCACAAGTACTTATCACTGTGTTGCAACTGTCTACAGTATTCAGTGCAGTCACGTGTACAGGTTTATAGCCTAGGGCAACAGGCTACACCACATAGCCTAGCTGTGTAGTAGGCTATCCCATCTAGATTTGTGTGCACTCTGCAAGGTTTACATAGTGATGAAATCACTTAATCATGCATTTGTCAGAATGTATCTCCATCATTAAGTGATGCATGGCTGTATATACAACATGAAACTGACAATTTCTTGAGAAGAAAGATTAGACAGCTCCAAGAGGACAAGTCAATCTAATGGGATATGGTTAAAATAAATATAGATGGGTTACTAATCAAAATGGTGCCATTAGTATGGGTTCCATGGATGCTAACAGAATTGTAAAGTAGTAAGAGAACAAGGGAACTGGGGCAGACTTCCAGAGAGGCTGGTTGGCCATAGAGGATTTTAATTTGCAGAGGAGGTGAGGTGGTAGGGTGGGGAGGAGTGGGATGTGTAAGTGTAGAAACATGTGCTGAGGAATATAAATACATAACAAAGAAAGTTAGTATTAAACACACTCTCAGACAACAGTGCAATACAAATAGAAGTCAAGACTAAGAAAATCACTCAAAACCATGCAATTACTTGGAAATTAAATAAGGTACTCCTAAATGACTTTTGGGTAAATACTGAAATTAAGGCAGAAATCAAGAAGTTCTTTGATACTAATGAGAACAAAGATACAACATTCCAGAATCTCTGGACTCAGCTAAGGCAGTTTTAAGAGGAAAATTCATAGCACTAAACATCCAAACAAAAAGTTAGAAAGATCTCAAATTAACAACCTAACATCACAACAGAAAGAATAAGAGAAGCAAAGGCAAATCACCCCCAAAGCCAGCAGAAGACAAGGAATATCCAAAATCTGAGCTGAAATGAAGGAAATTGAGACATACAAAACTACTCAAAAGGTGAAAAAATCCAGGAGTTCTTTTTTTGAAAACATTAATAAGAAAAGCCACCAACTAGGCTAATAGAGAAGAAAAGAGAATATCCAAATAAACACAATTAAAAATGACAAAAGGGATGTTACCACTGACCCCAAAGAAATAAAAATAACCATCAGAAATTAATATGAACATCTCTATACACGCAAACTAGAAAACCTAGAAGAGACAGATAAATTCCTGGACACATACAACCCTCCCAAGACTGAACCAGGAATAAATTGGTTCCCTGAACAGAACAAAAATGAGCTCCAAAATTAAATCAATAATAAATAGCTTACCAACCAAAAAAAGCCCAGGACCAGATGGACTCACAGCCGAATTCTATAAGATATACAAAGAAGAGCTAGTACCATTTCCACTGAAACTATTTCAAAAAAAATGAGAAGGACACCTCCCTAACTTATTCTATGAGGGCAGCATCATCCTGATACCAAAATCTGGCAGAGATACAACAAAAAAAGAAAACTTCAGGCCAATATCCCTGATGAACATCAGTGTAAAAATCCTCAACAAACTGCTTGCAAACTGAATCCAGCAGCACATCAAAAAAGGTAATCCACCACAATCAAGTAGGCTTCATCCCTGGGATGCAAAGTTGGTTCAACATAGACACATCAATAAATGTGATTCATCACATAAACAGAACTAAAGACAAAACCACAAAATTATCTCAATACATGCAGAAAAGGCTTTTGATAAAATTCAACATCCCTTCACGTTAAAAACTCTCAATAAACTAGGTATTGAAGGAACATACTTCAGAATAATAAGGGAAATCTATGACAAACACATACCCAACATCATACTTGTTGGGGAAAAGCTGGAAGCATTCCCCTTGAAAACTGGCACAAGACAAGGATGCTCTCTCTCACCACTCCTATTCAACATAGTATGGGAAATCCCAGCCAGGGAAATCAGGCAAGAGAAAGAAAGAAAGGGCATCTAAACAGGAAGAGAGGCAATCAAACTATCCCTGTTTGCAGACGACAGGATTCTATACCCAGAAAACCCCACAGTCTCTGGCCAAAAGCTTCTTCAGCTGATAAACAACTTTAGCAAAGTTCCAGGATACAAAATCAATGTACGAAAATCATTAGCATTCCTCTACACCAACAACAGCCAAGCCGAGAGCCAAATCAGCAAGACAATCCCATCCACAATTGCCACAAAAAGAATAAAATGCTTAGGTAGGAATACAGCTAACCAGGGAGGTGAAAAATAATTACAAAACACTGCTCAAGCAAATCAGAGGTGACACAAACAAATGAAAAACATCACATGCTCATGAATAGGAATAATCAATTTCATTAAAATGGCCATACTGCCCAAAGCAATGTACAGATTCAGAGCTATTACTATCAACCTGCCAATGACATTCTTCACAAAACTAGAAAAAACCTATTTTAAAATTCATATGGATCCAAAAAAGAGCCTAAACAGCCAAGGCAATTCTAAGCAAAAAGAGCAAAGCTGGAGGCATCACATTACCCGACTTCAAACTATAAGAGGCCACAGTAACCAAAACAGCATGGCACTAGTATAAAAACAGGCACATAGACCAATGGAACAGAATAGAGAGCCTAGAAAGAAGGCCACACATGTACAACTATCTGATCTTCGAAAAAGTTGACAAAAACAAGCAATGGGAAAAGTCTCCCTATTCAATAACTGGTGCTCAGGTATCTGGCTAGCATATGCAGAAGATTAAAACTGGACCCCTTCCTTACACCATATGCAAAAATCAACTCAGGATGGATTAAAGACTTACATGTAAAAAGCAAAAGTATAAAACCTGGAAGAAAACTTAGGCAATATCATCCTGGACAAAGGAATGGGCAAAGAATTCATGACAAAGACATCAAAAGCAATCACAACAAAAGCAAAAATTGACAAATCAAATCTAGTTAAACATAAGAGCTTCTGCACAGCAAAAGAAACTATCATCAGAGTAAACAGACAACCTACAGAATGGGAGAGAATATTTGCAAACTATCCATCTGATAAAGGTCTAATGTATAGCATCTATAAGGAACTTAAATTTGCAAGAGAAAACAACCCCATCAAGAACTGGGCAAAGGACATGAACAGACACTTTGCAAAAGAAGACATACATGTGACCAACAACCATATGAAGAAAGGCTCAACAGCACTGATCATTAGAGAAAAGCAAATCAAAACCACAATGGGATACCATCTCATACCAGTCAGAATGACTATTATTCCAAAGTCAAAAAAAACCAGATGCTGGAAAGGTTGCAGAGAAAAGAAAATGCTTACACACTTTGGTGGAAGTGTAAATTAGTTCAACCGTTATGGAAAGCAGTGTTGCAATTCCTCAAAGAGCTAAAAACAGAACTACCACCTGACCTAGAAATCCCATTACTGGGTATATACCCAGAGGAATATAAATCATTCTACCTTAAAGACACATGCACGTGAATGTTCACTGCAGCACTATTCACAATAGCAAAGACATGAAATCAACCTAAATGTCCATCAATTACAGACTGGATAAAGAAAATGTGGTACATATACACCATGGAATACTATGCAGCCATAAAAAGGAATGAGATCATGTCTTTTGTGGGAACATGGATGGAGCTAGAGACCGTTATCCTCAGTAAACTAATGCAGAAACACAAAACCAAACACCACATGTTCTTACTTTTATAAGTGGGAGCTAAAAGATGAAAACACATAAACACAAAGAAGGGAACAATACACACTAGGGGTCTAGTGGAGGGTAGAGTAACTATTGGGTAATAGGCTTAATACCTGGGTGATGAAATAATCTGTAAAATAAACATGTAACACGAGTTTACCTATATAAAACCTGCATATGTACCACCGAACCTAAAATAAAAGTTAAAAAGTTGGTATTACCCCTATTTGCTCAAGTTAGAGATGAGTTTCCCTTTGAATTACTTTCTTAAACTATCATTCTGTCAGTAGTCTAAGAGGCAATGATGATTGTATAAAACCTTAAAATGGACTTCTCAGCTCTCCCTTCTTTAAGAAATTCTAAAAATAGGCATATTAGCATTTGTATCCATAAAGGATACAAACTCCTACTCTACAAAAGGTTACCGCGATTTTAATTAAACTGACTCAAAACAAAGAATACAAACATGCCCCAGAAGTTGCTGAAAAATTCTAGAATTTTAACGGGATGCTTCTTTCCTTTTTAATACTTAAGAGACTCAAAACATCCAAACCAATGGGAGGCGGTGGAGAATAATTTATCAAGCTTAGTTTTAACTAGAAGACTCAACACAGCCACCTCGCTGTGAGGTGAATAAACCAGGACCCATTCTTGCTGCTTCCAGTTCTGTGGTTGCCTCCATTCCTCCTGAGGACCCTTCCCTGTTGAACTTACCGCAGGTCTGTGCTGAGTTCTGGTGGCACTGGCAGCACGCTCTGTGGGCGTATTCGTGGAGCTGAGGTCTGTCAAAACACGACAGCTCAGAACCGTTGTACTGAATGTCCTGCGATCGCAGAGACCCTAAATGAGGGGTGAGAACTCTGTCAGGGAACACAGTCTTCTCTCTAGGAGAGTCCCGTGAACATCCAATGCAGATCTGTGCCATTCCAGCTTTCATATTTTTAAAGAATAAGCCAGCTATCCTTCCAATGTCTGATGACTTCTTCTTACATGGAGGCACAAACATGAAATAATTTGTTAAGAAACTTCAAAATGTAAGTTACTAATGTTGCCAATACTGAGAATGATTTTTACTTTTGCCTCTTGGCACAGGGACATCACAGCCTTGTCAGTCTCCTTACAAAGCTGTGCCACTTGCTGTGCCATCTGTAGTGAGGTCTACAGATGACCCTTGAGCAGTGTGGATTTAAACTGCACAGGTCACTTACACACAGATTTTCTTCAGCCTCTGCCACCCCGAGACAGCAAGGCCAACCCTCTCCTCCTCCTCAGCCCACTCAACCTGAAGACGATGAGGATGACAGCCTTTACAATGACCTACTTCCACTTAATGAAAAGTAAATCTATTTCTTCTCCCTTATGATTCTCTTAATAACATTTCCTTTCTCTAGCTTACTTTAATGTAAGAATACAAGGTATAATACATACAACAGGCCAGGTGCAGTGGCTCACACCTGTAATCCCAGCACTTTGGGAGGCCGAGGCAGGCAGATGACTTGAGGCCAGGAGTTCGAGACCAGCCTGGCCAACATGGTGAAACCCCGTCTCTACTAAAAATACAAAAATTAGCCAGGCGTGGTGGTGGGCGCTTGTAGTCTCAGCTACTCAGGAGGCCGAGGCAGGAGAATCAACCCAGGAGGCAGAGGTTGCTGTGAGCTGAGATTATACCATTGCACTCCATTCTGGGTGACAGAGCAAGACTTAAGTCTTGGGAAAAGAAAAATAACATACAAGATCTTTTGCGGGGGGTCAACATTGACGTGCAGATTTTCACCTGCTGCCTTAGCCCTCTGCTGTTCAGGGATCACCTGTGTTTCCTGTGCCCTGTGTTCTTTCACTGCTTGTTGGTGCTGGTCTCAGCCAAGTCTCTTGTGAAACACTTGCGCAACAATGTCATAAATGTCCTTCCCCCAAATGCTAAGAAATGGAATGAGCTCAAAACTTACAGCTGGGTTTCTTCTCCATAAACTGTCTCTTACAATAGATGACACAGAGGATGAGCAGGGCCAGTAGGACGGTGGCCAGAGCACTGCAAATGACAGCAGCCAGTGCCGTGTCCCGTGGGCTGGAGGCCGTGGATGCGATCTTCACCAGGTTGACCTTGCTGGCACCTGAAACCACAGGAATGGGGTCAGTGTGCTTGAACAACTGGAGCTGCAGTGCTTATGGTGCAGCTGGTGGGTACCTTTACCAGTGGCCTTCCCACACTGTGAGAAAACCGACACAAGACATTTAAAGATGGCTCAAGCATTCCCTCCACCCAGAAGATGTCTTTAACCTCTACCTGTGTGACCTTGACACGCTGACTCGAGTCTCAAGTTGCCATCTGTTCAAATGGAAGTAATAATGACTGACTCATGAGTTATGTAAAGTGTGTAAGACTGGCTGTGCTGTAGAATCATTAGCCACTGTAATGATAATAATTAGCATTTTAATTATCCTGAGGGCACCAGAATAAACAAACTCATTTACATCAGAGGTCTATATCCAGTGCAGTAAAACAGCATATCCTACTACCTTTACTTGGCACCCCACAATGTGCTGGGTGTCCCTCTCCTCTGTTCCCACAGCACTACAGACACACCCCCCCCCAACACATTGTGTTGCTAGAATCTGCCTTCAGCTCCACCAGAGCAGAATTCTTTGTGAGCCGAGAGTCTGTCATCTTTATCTCTGGCTGCCCAGTACTTGGCATGTGGCAGGGAACTAATGTTTCTTATTTAATTGGAATTACACCACATTTTAAAGCAGACTGAATGCATGTACACTTTTTTGGGCAACTTTAGGAGAAAACAAGGAATTGGATCACCCAGAAGCTTATAGTAGACCTCAATTTTTGAGACAGTAAACATCTCTGAACGGCTTATCTGTTAACCTACTGGAAAGCATCTAAGTTTTGGAGAAAACATCTAAGTTTTGGAGGCAGGCATACTCATGTGCTAAGAGAGTCAAGGAATAGATGTTATTTTAGAGGCAGTACTGCTTTGTGGTTCTGGGCAGATTCTGCCCCCCCTGGCCTGGGTGAACCTCTACCTTTGTTGTGTGACCTTGAGACACTGACTCGAGTCTCAAGTTGCCATCTGTTCAAATGGAAGTAATAATAGCTACTGACTCATGAGTCATGTAAAGTGTGTAGGACTGGCTGTGCTGTAGAATCATTAGCCACTGTAATGATGATGATAATAATTAGCATTTTAATTATCCTGAGGGCACCAGAATAAACAAACTCATTTAAATCAGAGATCTATATCCAGTGCAGTTAAACAGCATATCCTATTTAACTAACCCAAAATAATCTGAAAGAAATAGATTTAAAAGGGGCATGAAATCTACACAGAGGGGCAGTTACACTTTCTCTTTCCCAAGCAGACGCCCTGAGTGAGCTGAGAGGCCCTCACTCTGCTTCCTTGGCAAGCGCCGCTCACCACGGGAGACGTCCCTTGACTGAGGGTTACTCTAGATAGAGGTATAATGTGTGCTTCACATGTCATTTCAGGTTGTCTAGAAACCAAATTTAAAGAGTAGCAGAGAGAGGGCGACAGAGAGAGACCCTGTCTCAAGAAAAAAAAAAAAAGAAGAAACAGGTAAAATTAACTATAGTCTATGTTACTTAGCCAATATCTCTTAAATATTGCATTTCAATATGTATTCAATATAAAAATTATTAATAAGATATTTTGCATTCTCTATTTTGTATTAAAATTTCAAAATCCGGTATGGTTTTACAGACACAGCTCATCTCAACTTAGACTAACTACACTTCCAATGCTCAGTAGCCACACATGGCTAATGGCTATGTAATGGACACGGCAACTCTAGAGACTGAAGGTCATTTGTACAAGTTGGCACCCAAACACAAGCCGATTTGTCATCTGGTCCCTTTCTCCTACTTCCTGGCTACAAACTCCTCACTTCCAATAAGATTGTATGACACTTGAGGCTGGAGCCAGAGAGAAACACCTGGGTTAATATTACTGAATCATAAAAGCAGGATAGCACGAACTGTCATCTTGGAGCATGAGTCTTGGTATTTCCAGTCTCAGTGATTCTAGGCCACACATATGACGGTCTCTTATTACCACCTGGGAAGGTACACACATCATATGTTTTGGGTTTAGATGAATAAGACTCATAATCCAATCATGCATTTTAAAGGACATTTATTTGTAAACATGTTTAACATTCACAAGATAGATTTGATCACCTCTAACTCTATAGAACACTATAATAAGCAAACAGCACACACTATATGTTTGTTTTACAGCAAGTTAAACGACACCCCTGACCTGATAGAGATTAAATCTAATCTGAAACAGCCTCTATCAGTGGACAGAGTCACAAAAGGACCTAAGAGCACAAGCACAGCTGTGCAAACACTGAAAATGCGTAACTGGAGAGGAACTTGCATCCCACGCAAGTTGAAATAGCAGCTACAGAGGAGGGGAAGTGACTTGGAAATGAAAGCATTATCTATCTGGACCAAATGGTGAAGCTGTGGGAGACTGCCATTTACACTGGTGAGGAAGGCACTCACTTCAGGGAATCTCCTTAGCTTAAATTTTTGGTCAAATAACCCAGGCCTACACAATATGGAGTTTTAGCGAGAGCTGTCATAAAAATGAAATTTAATACACGATTTGAGTGGGGGAGGACTTCCAAGTTCTCAACTGCTGTAACTATTGAGCTCATCAATTGACATAGCACTGGATGTTCAGAAAAATCCTGGTGAGAATAGAAATTTCAGGTTAAGGTAGTATCATAATTAGAGTCCTTTAAGTTCTTATTGTTTAAAACCCTTCTAAAATATATTCAGTAACTTATTTTCCTTAATATAAAAGAACTGTCTCTAACTTACAGATAGGTTAAAATGTCCCCGGAGTGAAGATTTTCTTCTTAATTTGGTAGTTTGTAACTCAGGATTTATATTCTCTAAACATGTCTTGTTAACATGTATCTAATACTATAAGGCGCAATGCTATAATGTCAGCGATATCTGGTTGCCACAGTAATATCAGTTTCAAAGGAAAAGTACATCCAATGTGCCCTTTCTCTACACATTTCCCGAGGCAGTAGCATCTAAAGATGAACAAGAAAAACAAGTTTTACCTCTTGATTTTTGACACCTATATAACAATAGGCATCTTATGGATTCAGACACCCTCAGAGAGTCCTCATGGGAAGCAGGGGTCCAGAAACTACATTCTTGATTCTTGTTTATATGTCGAGTTTATGACAACACTTAGAGCAAATTTTTTTTTTTCTAGGAAAGGGGTTCATCATTTTTAGCTTTGTCGCATATAGCCATGAAGACAAAAATGGGAGATTGGACTGAGTATCATTTGATTTTAGAACAGTTCTAGAAAGTAACTTTTTTGTTTCAAGTAAAAATCTATTTTCTTATAATTCTTTTTGACTTGAGCAGCGAAAAACAAAAACCAAAACCAAAAATAAGGTGCCAAGGGGGGCAGATTTATACTAGCTATATAAAGTGGCTTCCACTCTGTAAAGTTTTTGTTGAGATGTTGTGATAATTCATAAGGAAAAAACCCTTCTACTCTAGAGGAAAAGGTATTGTTTTGCTAACCTGTGGCAATGATACTGAGATGAAAGATTCTTTCCACTCACATGCCTTGACTAATGCCCCGTCCTAGTTCACTAAGCACAATGAATGCCTGCCAGGAATTCTGCCCATATCTTTTTAGGATTCTGACAGTACTTCTGAATAAGTGGAAATAGGAATAAACACACGCCTTGGAAAGTTTTTAACTTTTTCGGAATACAAAGTATTTCTTACTCTAACCAATTAAGTTATTAAATTCCACCATAATCTTGGCAGTACACTTTAGCAATTTACTTCAGAGCAAGGATTGTTTTCTTTCAGCTTAAATTTTACCTACATTACATATATTACATGGGTTCAGTTTTATATTATGCATCTCCTTAGGAGTTCAACACAACTTAATAATTATGTCCTGAGTGTCTGTTATGAGTATGACATCCTACAAGGCATTAAATAAGTTGGATGAAAATCTGAATAGAAGAAAAGGAAATGGAGGTCTCCAGCACAGTCTGGCAAGTGTTTTTATAAAGTCCCATCTGAACCTCTTTGGGGTAAACTGAGGTACAGAAATCCACATCCTCTCCCCACATTTCATCCCCTAAAGAGCTTCAAGCATAGCTGGAAAGCCTTGAAACACATGCATTGGAGAGATTTGTCTCACAGGACAAAGGCAAGAGCAGCTTCTCAGATGCTGCAAATGAGGGACCCATTTGCAAGCCACAGAGGTGGCTAAAATGTTCATGCTAGCTTCTTTAGACACTGCTTCTCACATAGCTTCAGTGACTCACCCTCCTCACTAAGAAGTGGTAGATGTTCATTGGTGAGCTTCGTTTGATACCCAAGAAAATCAAGACCTTGAATCACATGCTCAAGGTTTCCCAGCGAAGCAGAGGCAGCCTGAAAACTGGAATCGGGCCTTCTGGGCCCCTCCAGTAAACCGCACTGCCCAACAGATGCAGGTAGCTTCTGAGATCGAAACATTCTGTCGGGTAATGATAACCAAAGTATAGCTCATGTTTGTTTATGTAAGGGCCATGCTCATTTCTGTGGGGAGAACTGAACCAGGTCACGGAGCAGTCACAGGGCTTTCCAGACAGCAGAGCTGCCTGAGTGTGCATGACAGCTGGTTCTGCAGGAGTTCACCTGCCCGCAGAGATGTTCCGGGTCCTCTGCCTTACCGTGGTCTCAGTGTCTGCATTAGGGGCCATTGTTGATCAGACGTGGGGGCAGTGAGCATGCTAAGCAATGACGGGATGTCCTGAGGCAGGGAGGGGGGTGTTCTGTGGAGGTGACTGTGTCTGGAAAGGACCTGTGGAGGGAGGGAATGGGAAAGGACACATAGAGGCAGTCACAGCTGGCTTCCGCCTGGGCTTGCCAGGCTCCCTCCTCTGCCTTCTACTGCTACTCCCTACTTGCTTAACCCCTCCAACTTCCTACTATGCAATGTTTAAAAACCTGCTCAACAAAACATCCTTCTTCCTGGAGAATTTTCCTAACAAAGGGCCCCGTTCAGGCGGTGCCGCTTGGGAGGAAGAGAACCAGTGTCCAAAA